TACATGCAGTGGGATAAAAGAAAGAAATGCTTGCAATGTGAGATCATTAAGACGCTTATGCGACCATCGCGATTTGACTGTTCGCGCTTAACTTGCGTCTAATGTCCACGTGTACATGATACCGTTAAAAAATAGTCAGTCGCTGACCACTACAGAAAAAATGGCTATTTGATTGATGAGCCAAGTCTGTCCAGTCACGAGGCGACGTTTCTGAGCAGGCCTTTTAGCGATGATTCTGGAGCGCGATTAGTGGACCGGTAAGTAAAGCAGACATTCGTTTGCATGTTGTTTGTTCCGCTCTCCATTGTGTTTCATTAATTCTTTCCTATCAAGCTCTCTATGAATGCGTACTGGTTTAGAGCATCACACTGTCCTCACAACTGCATTCTGAAATAAAATGTAATCTAGTAATCTCCCAGTATCTCAAGAGAACTTCTCATTCCTTTATACCATGAACGGTCAAATCTGACGGTACAGAGAGACCTAGATCATTTACACTGACTGAAGCTCGAAGTCACATCGCTGAGGCATGACATCTACCACTGACCTACAGTCAAAGAGCATCTCTCAAAACGGTTGTGCAAAAAACGTCATTGGACGAATGTACTCTTGGGTACCCCGCTGCACAAACAGTGCCTATCATCAACAGAATCTCCCTACAGTAATAAAATTATTACGCTAGCTGATTCGTCTTCTCACCTTTCCTCCGTGTCCTTGAAGTTCCTTTATATGAGAACTCGTGCATATTGAAAATACTTTGAGACTTTCGTCTTCGCACGAAATCAGGGCGAACACGTCGTTCGATGTTAGAGCGATGCTTTTCACGGGAGCCATCAACCCGAGCAGCTTTGAAATGACCGCTCCGGTTTCGACGTAGCAGATGGCGACTGTGAAATCGGCAGAACCTGAAAATGAGGAGTAAAGGCAAAATCGAGTGCAACCGTCATTACCGTACCAGAGACGAGATAGTCGTTTTCTGATGTGAGGGATAAGGCTGTGACGGGACCCATGTGATGCCGGAAAACGCATTTTTCACTACCATTTTGCACCGTGGTCATGCAAATGACTCCGTCAGAGTAGCCGGTGAACAAATCTTCATCGTTGAAAGAGAACAGCGCGCTGCACATCTTACCGGAATGAGGTTTAAAAGTGACAACGCAGTTGTCCTGATACACGTCCCACACTTTCACCACTCCTTCGCATGAGCCGCTAACGAAGTTCCGGCCATTTGTGCTGGTTTTAAGAAAAATCACCTGCTCGTTATGCCCTAGAATTACGCGATGTATAAAAGCTAATGAAACTGACAAAGTGCACCAGCAAATGACCGAATGAGCCTGTGAGAAGCGATGTGATACATCCAGATCTTACCACCTTCAACTGCACCAGCGACCAACAGATGCTGATAGTTGACGGTTGGCTCAATAATAATGCAGTCCTTTTCTGAGGCAAACGACCATTCTTTTAGTCTGAATCTGCTGACGAGCGGACATGCGCAGGGCCTGATCCAAGAAGTAAGAGGAACGATCAACGGGAAGCAGCAGCACGTATCCACCCAGAGCATTGCTTGGTCAAGGAGTCTATTAAGCACGTCCGTGTTTCTTTCTAAACATTGGAATACGAACTAAGCATCCATTTCCTCTCAGCTCACTTCTGTCATATGATAGTCGCAGAATTACTTCGCCAGCGAGCAGATTTGGATCCTGATATAGAAACTTGAAAGACGGACGTAAAACCATTGTGTACAAAACATGAAGGTTATAATTGAGCACTTGCAGAAGTGCTCCCTCAATTGTTGTACGCATGTGAAATATGCCGGTTGTGAGCACCGTTTTGTAAAGATATTCGAAGTTGCAAAAGCCAACTGACTCCAAGTTGTCGATCGACCCTAAGACAAGCACTTGAGTTGAAGGAATGAATCTTCAAAAAGTACCTGTGTGAAGTAAATGGTACCATAAATTACGAACCTGGGGGATAATGTAGAAAGCGTTGTACTTATTGGAACTGGCGTGCACGGTTTGAACGCATCGGTCGAGAGATTTTTCTTCGATGTCGCATTCTCCTGAAGAGACTGTCGCCATATTCACATATAGGTTGACCAGTTTTCCGTGAAACTTCTACAAAATGATAGTGTAGCCTTTTTTTCACGAAAGCGTCGCTAGACACCTTTAACACTGTACTACTGCTCAAGTACCGATGGCGAACAACTGCCCCAATAAAAGCGTGACTCCAAGTCATCACTGTTCTTCCGTCGCACATTCGTTCTTCTATTATGGCACCTAAATTTCATCCTTATGTCGGCTTCAATATTTGCAAGCATCATTATCTAAGCATTTCTATGGATTCTTTGAGATAAAAGCAAATACCAAAGTGAAGAAAATTCACTTTGTTTTTAAACTGTCCTGCGGGAATTTGAAGAGTTTCTAATTACATCTTATGGTACTTCCTCAAGGGGGTCTGGTAAAGATTCTGTCATGTCTTTGACTTGACATTTGTTCAGTGATATTGCGTTAGTAGTACGAATGGTCAGGAAGTAGCAACAATTCATGCGTGAATATCATTTCTAGCCTTGACAGGGGTTTGTACTATTTCTTTAAAGACATACCCTATTCGTTGTTCAGTAATTTAATTCTTGGATCAACAGATATTGATGTCAGTTTCAGCGCATGGACAACTCAATTAGCAGGAAGGATTTAAAGGACCATTCCGCCGCAAACAGATTATCAATCCAGAGGGAATGAGATGCAGCGTTTGTTGCACGCTCGAAAAAACTGTATGTTTAATTACAGTTGTTTTGGTCGTCGTTCTATCCTTTCCAGAAAACGTTAAATACAGTTTCAGAAGATGACAACAAAACAAGGTCGTCTAAATTCAGCAACGATCTCCATTCACATCTCCCCTACTGATATACTCGTCGCCCTTTTTCGACTGACTAGCCAACCCATCTACAACACAACCAGGAAAGGGGACAGAAAGCAACCTTGCAGAGACCAGTACCAACGATGAAAGGACTCGACTGTATTTTTACTCTAACGTAGCACCTGCTATCAGCATCAATGACTGGATGTATCATGCCACTAGTCATCAAACAGTTATGTTTGCAGGCTCGCCCGTAGGCTGTTGCGCGGGATGCGGTCAGAGGCTATATCCAAGACTAGAAAGCACAAACCGGGAGCGAAATCTTATGATTGCTCAATAGTCTGGCGTAAGGCAAAGATCCGTTTAGAGGAGCTTCAGCCGGACCTGCAGCCAGACTGCCCTTATTATATCTTTAATTCAGTTATTGCATGTCACCTCTTTCCTTAAATTTTTGCATCGACTTTCTCGGGAGGATTAATAAGGCAATAAAACCACTCCATAGGGTCTCGCTTCTTGAAGATGGGTGCTACCCACTTCCCCATCCTCCATTCCGCTTGTGTTTCCTCCGTAACCATTGCAGTTTGATTGACAGAGTAAGCCAACAGATGCCTTAACTGTCTAATGCTTTGAACATCTCACGGCGGATTCAAGCTTTTTAACGCTTATTCGTGCTGCTTTTCAAATGAATCGACCTGCGGTTGCTCGGAGGTACGGAGTTCCTCAAAAGTATTCTCTCCATCGCCGAAGTATGTCCTAATCCTTGCTAAGATAGCCTCCAGACGTCTTCAGGACTCTTAGACTGCATTTTTTCATCTCTGAGGAAGCGAATAATCCTCTATAATTACACTGTTTGCCGCCTGCAAATTCCAACCCAGCTCCTTACCGAATTACTGCTAGGAATCAGGTTTCGCTGCCGCCTTGCGCACTTCATCGTGCCGTATTCCAGTTGTACGGTTGTTGCTTCCAAGCAAAATGTCGAACGCAACGTTCTTCTTCTTCTGACTACCAACTGAACCAATTATATACATGAATAAGTTTGCTTCTGTTCTCCTGGCGGCAGCCTTGAGTAAGCCACCTCTAAAGAGCTTCCATCCAGTTTCCGCATAAGCGGTCATCACTGAGATCTGTTCAAACCGTCGACTGACGTTGTTTACAAGTTTCGCCCTCGTACCCGCAGAAGATAAAGTTTCTAATTTGATGTCTGCCACCACCTCTCCGCATGATGCTCGGTCGTTTATAGCAGAGGATTCCAACAATAAGGTTACGATCAGTTGACAGCCGTGAGCCTCAATTAACGCCAACGTGCATTGCAAAGCCTCGCAACTCCGAAGATGCCACTATCAAATCGATCATAAACTTCAGTACACACACTTCCCTATTCCAGCCTATTCTGACTGACGTTTCGATGCACAAGGAAGGTGTTCATAACAGACAGGCTGTTGTTTGCATGAAACTGTAACAACTTCATGGCGATATTTCTGAGGTCGCTAGGGTCGTTATTCCCAATCGCTCCTTTCCACTTTTCAGTATCTGCTCCAACATGCGCACTTAAGTCGTCTAGTTGAATGCTGGTTTCCGAAGTCGGCACTTCATATAGAGCGCCTTGTATTTCTTTCAGGAAGCGCTCATACTTTCCCTCCAGGTTCGACGCATGGACCTGTAACATGATCAATGCTTCTGCCTGTTGTAACTTCAGCCGATGATTGCTACTCCTCCACTGACACGCTTCCATTAAATAATTTTACCAGTAGGCTGGGTTTTATCAGACTACCATCACTGACTGAGAACGTCTAGTAATGATCTAGTGATGTCGAGACCTGAACATAATATCTCTCACCCGCAGAGGTTCGGAATTCCAAAGAACAGCTCTTCGTTGGCTACAGTCCAGCTGTGTCCAGTCGCTAACTAAGTAACCCCTGCTCTTTTCATCTGATTAAGGGGATGCTCTAACTTCAGACTGTGAACTATCGTTTCCCGTATCGTTTCCGTAGAGCTTTACCTGATTACAATAATGAAATCGTGGTAACTGTCTCATCCGTTCAAAACGCTTTAGATTAGAATGATATTTGTCCTGTTCAAAAACGAAATCTTTAGTTGAAACAAATGCACATTTTAGTGTATGCCATCACTGCTGTTGATGAAATACCGAATCACAGACTTACGTAGGTGACTTTTCATTCTGATCCATTGCAGAGAAGACAATCTTTCGATTTCAATGTGAGGATTATCTTCTAGTTCGACAGAATCTTCGGCAGTT